AGAGAAACTGATAGCGAACAGCATGGATCCTGATCAGACAGCACGGATGCGCAGGCTGGTCTGGTTTCATGCTGGCCGCAAACCCATTATGTTGGTTTTGTCGTGACGCGGCTCATATGTTTTTCACAATCCTATATAAACAGGTAACATGTATAGCAAAACAACATCAAACAACATCGGCCAGTTGGACAGCACACACAACTATAATTATTTGCGCTTGTCAGTAACAAGAAGGCCATATATTTAAGACTTTCATAAAGGGGTGAATACCTTTTGTAGTCATGGGGATTATCATGCATACAAAAATCAATAATGCTCAACAATGAACATATTTTTTCTGACTTAACTTATTATAAGGTCTCAGAAATTGACCATCATATTCTATCTGGCAAAGACATGGGATAAGTTTTCATTTAACACCTTCACCTACTTTAATGCATAGATCCCTGATTTATCTTATTTTTAGTATCAGATTAGTGGATACAATAACAATTTCACCACAAACTATTTGTTAACAAAAGAGCACATGTCAATGTCTGTGGTTAAATCTGTTGTTATTCAAATAAAAGGTCTGAGTAGGGATCTATCAATAAGGAGGGCAGATTTAAGGTTGTGCTCTTGCGTACATCATGTGTCTTTGTCTTTTAGTTAATTTCTTAGTCATTTTTATCCATTGACGCTAATAAGTCTGTCTTCCTCTTTCAGTCATTTGTAGTCACGAATATCCCTTAACCCTATTTATGGCAACTTTTCTTGAGGGGGAAGACTTCAGATGCCATTCAATGCATTATTTCAGAGTGCCCCTATAGGTACACTAACCTGAATCGCTTTCTTACATGAAATAATCTAATGTAGAAACGCCAGCAGTCTCTAACTCAGGTATAACGATTCCTCACATGAAATAACTGAAATTTCTATAGTAGCAGTGAAGGGACAAATGGTTTTTGTCTGTAACTTTAACCACTGGTCACAATTTGCTTCAAAATTTGAGCTAGTCTAATAGTTTTTAAACGAAATTCTGACCAGATGTCTGGCACAATTTATCTCAAGCAATGAAAAAAAAACAGGGTTTGTCTGAGAAATAGAATATCATGAAAATATGTTTTATATACTTGGCTTATTTTTTTTCAAATTCACAAAACTCGAGGAAATAAAAAAAGAAAATAAATATTGACATTGAAAATAGTCCAACCTTGGCTTGTGATTTTATGGTAAATTCACAAATCTGATCAAATTTTGGCTGATCAATCTTTTGGCTTGTGGCTAACATCATGAATGGTATAGTATATAATGGAAGACTTGTTTATGCTAATATGATGGATAATTGGATATAACACATAAATCCAATATAACATATACATGCATTTATATAGTAGATAATAAATTATTCTAAAACAAAAAAAAATATTATTCATGTAAATGTTCATACTAAATCACATAGAACTTTATCAACAACTTTCTTAAGCAATATTTTATAAGAATATCCAAATGATACATTTCTATTGACAATATTTGTAATTCTTAAGGAAAACGTGCCCATTGTAGGCCAATCCACTTTCATACCATTTCACAAAATTTAACATACAACTTGTTCTTGTATCAGCATAAACTGACATTTACTTTCAGTTATATTTGCTAGGTCATTTAATATGTGTCCATTAACAAAATTCCATGCATGTTACTGATTTTATTACTTGCTGGTATTATATGCAACCACAATAAATATGATATTATTCCAAATGTTCGCTATAGCAATCAACAACGGAACGAGTTGACGCTCAGAAGTATATTAAGCTTGCAACATTTTAGGTTCAATCATTACAGTTTTTATATATGAACAAAATAAGTTATTTCAAGAGCATCATGAGCAGAATGTTTTACAACCTTTGATAGCCATAAACTGCTTGCTTTAAAGGCACATTATGCCTCAGAAATCTATATTTTTAATTCTATAGAAATGTCAAACATGTGCTTAAATATGTTTCAATAATAGATTCAGAGAATGTTACATGTTTTAATATTGAAGGAAGTAGCAATTAACACGCAGTAATGTGTTGTAAAGGTAGCAATATGGAAACAAAGTAGTACTGCTGATATAATACAAATACATAAAATATCATGAAAATATGTTTTACATACTTGGCATATTTTTTTTCAAATCCACAAAAATGGGAAAAAAGACAAATCCATTATGTAAATTCAGCAGTTTACAATGACAATTTCAGTTTTTGTTAAAATCTGAAATCCTTTTTGATACTGATTTTACTTAGGTAAAATGTTTATTGAAGACTGTTATCTGAAATGCATGGTAATTTCTGGGTGTTTTTTTTTTATTGAATAACAAGTTTATACTTAGAAAAAAAATATTTTACAATTCAATAACTTTGTCTATTCATACATTAACCTATTAAAGACACTAACAAAAATATGATAATTACAGTGATTCAGAATTTTTTATTTAGATAAAAAATTCCTTGGCAGTTGTTTATTTAATTCTTTTTTTTTTGATACTGAAATTGTCAGAAATTATATTTTCCCCCCAAATTTTTAAAGATTATTTATAAGGATACTTTAAAGTTGCACACCTCCAGATGAAAATTAGCATGAGTCACCTTTAAAACAGTCACAGCAATTCTTCGACATTTTCCTCCCGCAAGAATAATAGAAAAACTCCCAATCAGATACAACTTTACTAGCACATTTTAAATTTCAAAGATTTTCAGTGTACAGTCAAACCTGTAAACATACTAGGTCATCCAAGAAAGAGATTGATTGAACATTGCCATTATAGACAAGTGGACTTTATTTGCAGGTTACTCAGTTCCTTACAATTAATGAAGGGTTGTCAAAGAGTGGCCTTTATATACAAGCTCTCTGCAGTCAGAGATAGTCATAACACAGGTTTGACTGTACATACTTCATTTACTCATTTCATTAACTTAACTAAATCTGAATCTTATCAAGTAAATAACATTGAGAATATACTCAACCTTAATAATGAAAAAGCATGGCAATTAAGTGAAAATCACTCATTTTATGACATGTTGGTTTGCTTTTTGTCTAGCTTTTTGTCTAGTTTCTATTTCAATTTTTCTAAGAGTGACAAAATACTAGACCTACATTCTGATTCAGCTGTAATAGACAAATGACCATTGGACTCAATCTTCTCAAGATTAATTGTCACAGAGAAAATTTACCTGGCCCATGAATCAAACCAACAATTCCCCAGTGGACTACAAACCCTATGCTCTCCTTACTGAGCTAAGCATTGACAATCAATACAAAAATTAAAATTGGTTTTCACAGAGACATAGATAACTATGTCTCTGGTTTTTATAATAAGATATTAAGTATTAAAAATATAACACACTGCATATCATTCACAGAATAATATGTTTACATACACAAAGTACAAATGTATATGGTATTATGTGTTTATAGTATAGATGTGTATGAAGAGACAGTAAAAATGTGTTTAAATATGAAAGCCATGTGTTAACAGACACAGTATCTTGTAAACATGCAAGTCATGTGTATAAAGACACAGTATGTGTTTACAAACATGACACAATTTATTTACACACATGGCATTACATGTTAACTAAATAATGATATGTAGCAGTCAGTTGTAACCTTAGCCCCCCACCCCTGTTGCAGCATGGGGGATATCCATGAAAATGAACAAATTTTGTGATTTTTGATCCGTCCTAAACTGTCAAAGTAGTGGGGATCATGGGAGGTAATGGGGTCCAATTAGCAGGGTCGGGCATTTAGTAGGGACTTTTAACATTTGTTTTTTGCTGCAGTGTGGGACATTGGGGTTGGAAAATGCAAAAGATGATGTACCCACTATTCATTGGGATATTGGGTTACAACCGAGTGCTGCAGTTATTAACATGAAATAACTAGTTTACATAGACAATATTTTATGTATACAAAATGACAGTATATATTAAGAAACACAGCTTCTTGTGTTTACAAACACAGCAGTATGTGTTAACAGAACACAGCTTCTAGTGTTAACAAACATGACAAACACAATTGTATTTATAAACACATATTTTTAAAATAAAGTTTCTTCACAAACACAGCTTTTAGTGTTTACAAGCATGGCAGAATTGGCATGTGTTCCAAAAGAAAACACACTCAACTAATATACTGGTAAGTACTTTATAGTGGAATAAGAACAGGTCCTAAAAAGTTTTACTCGATATGATAATAGGCCTTGAAAAGGGCAAAATCTCAAATGGTGTAGGAAATGATTTGGGTGATATAAAAACTTTACCAAAAATACTAGATAAACAAGCAATTATCATAGTATTGCAAGCAATCCATAAGTCCCCTACCGGTTAGAACCCAAGCAACATTCTAATGGGCCATTTGCCATTCAATTTTACCAGTGAATGAATGACATGAATGAACTTAAATCTTTGGAGTTCTAAGTTTGTCTATATCACAGTAATGTGTTAAGTTTCCATGCCTAGTAAGGAAATTATTTTTATACAACCTTGTCATATTATTACAATGTGGGATTTTAAAGTAAATTCCTATAAGGAATGAAGAAGTTGGAGTGAAAATACCAGTTTCTTCTCGAAAAAAATCTAATTAATTAAGTTCAAGGGGGACATAATTCTGGAAATAGTCTTGCTAGAGTATTTAACCTTCTCAAAAATGTTGAGTGATAATAAGAAACATATATATGAAGTTTGAAGTAGATACATTAGGAAATAAAGAAGTTATTTAAAAAAAGACAACATTTTTTCCCTCTAAAAATCTAAGTTCAAGGATGTAGTACTGATAATTTTTGTGCTAGAGTTATAAACCTTGTCACATATGATGCGGTTGATGACCAGAAACTTATATTTAAAGTTTGAAGTAAACACCTTTAAGAAATAAAGAACATATAGTGAAAAAGCTGAAAAAATTTAAATCAGAAATCTTGAAATTCAGGCTATTTGTTGCCATAGCAACCAGAATTTTCAACATAGGAAGAAAAGAAAAAAGATGTGCATAATCTCCAGACTGCCAATCTACCCATATTTCAAGTTTCATAAAAATATTTTCAGTACTTTTTGAGTTATCACTGGATCCAGTTTATGTGTTAAATTTGCCATATTTTCAGACTATTTGTTGCCATAGCAACCAGAATTTTCAACATAGGAAGAAAAAAAAAGACGTGCATAATCTCCATACTGCCATCTATCCATATATCAAGTTTCATAAAAATATTTTCAGTACTTATTACGTTATCGCGGGATCCAGTTTTGTGGACAGACGGACTGACGGACAGACAGACGGACGGAGGGTAAACCTAAAGTCCCCTCCGGTTAAACCGGTAGGGGACTAATAAGGGTCACCATATTTTCAAAATGTCATCTTGTATAAAGTTGAGATGATGGTTACTAACAAATATTCTATGCTTCAAACCAATACCTCAAAGACATAGAAAACAAGTGAGGTAGGAAGAAAAAACCTAACCTAAAGCATGAGGCAGATGCCAACACCTGGTTGAGTAGGATAACTCACAATACAGTATATTTATATATAATAGTCGAGCTAACAAGTTCAGCTTAAAATGCTTACAAACATGGCAGTATGTGTCCAAAACACAATTATCAAAATTGTAGTCAAAGATATTATGTTTAAAGACCAATCATAATGAATTTTGTTCACAGAATCTTGTGTTTACAAACAGGTAACAATAAACTACAAGCCTTTACTACACATCACTGACATCATCTTCTTCTCTCCCCTTTCTGTGTACGTTTTTTCTCACCCTCTTTTCTTTCTTTTTGTTTTTCTTTTTGCGTCTCTCTATCCTGTTTATCCTTTTCCCTTTTCTTTTCTGCTTCCAGTCTAGATTTTTCTCGCATCTCAAGCTCAGTTTTCTTAACAGACTCTGCATTTACATTCTTAAAATTAAGTACTGAATAATTGTTAAGCAAAATTTGTTATCAAAATATGTACAAGAAAGTTCAGCATTCAACTCATTGCAAACTGTTCTGTGAAAGAAAGCAAGGATGGCTTAAATGTACTGTGAAAGAAAGCAACAATTGCTTGTCATAGTCAAATGTATTATTTGAGACAGCTCGACAGACAAGCTACAGGTTAAGTAACTTTAAGCACTTTTCAAGGACTTTTTTAAGGCCAATTTTGCATTTTCAAGGACAGTCTGACACGTCCCGCAATAGAGTTCTTGCAAACAATCCAAGTGTCAAGCAAAGATTTCTATCTAAAAGCAAATAGTACACTTCAGGCACCTTATCACGGTCATTCATCCTGCATTTTCCTTCAGGGTGTTTCCTCTATTACATTGTATTGCTTCTCTAATACTTGATGCACTTTCACTTTCTCCTATACATGTATATAGTATTACCATTTATTTCAATTATCTTCATGCATATCTGCCAGCACTCTGCAATGGGCTTTTCAAACATTGCTTTTAGGGGTGTCATTGATAAGGATTTTTGTATCGATATATCGGTAATGAATTATCGGCGATACAGCGATATATCGATTGCCAGACAAAATTAAGCTTTCAAGTCTTTTTCATTTGTTTTAATATGCAGTTACATTTAAACACATGCAAAAAATAAATATAAACTATGAAAAATGGACAATTTGTTTCTTCTTTATCATTATAACTTTTAATGACAACTAATGACTAGTAACTATAATGTTTCAAGCCTTTTCCATTTTACTTTTGTTGTTGTTGCTATTACACAGTTACAGATTATGCTAAATCCCGTCCTTGACATTCTATTACTTAGTCGGGGTTTAATTAGCAAATTATAGTGTTTAGAACTGGAATAATTATTAAAGTTTAACATAATATTATGTAATAATAATTTTTACAAAGAAACACTTAAAAACAATTTTCTTAGCATTTTCCCTCTTAAAAATCTGAATTTGGGGGTCTTGAACCCCTCTTATCAGACATGCGAGGTAACAACGAAATTCGGCAGCATTTGTTATGGACACTGGGAGATTACTCTGGTGTTGATTTTCGTTTTCGAAAAAAAAAATGTTTGGAATATGTCAGTTCTGGCTTCCTTAACTTTATATTTCGCTTTTATTTTGACGTTTGGTCTATCAGTACTATAAGACCTATTTGCTGAAGTGTCTTTAGCTAGAAACATGTGTGCATTCGATATACTATATTTAAAAAAATGGAATCGATATCGAATCGGATAACAAAGATTGTTGATACACCGATATCGACTGAATCGATTACACCCCTAATTGCTTTATATGATAACTGATGGATAATCTTGAAGCAACGTGAGCAAGAATTTACAATTTTTTCCATTCTTAGACTTTTTTATCCATGATTTTCAAAGTTTACTTTTTGTTTATACTTGTGAAAACCGGTAATGCAAAAAGTGAAGATGTTGTACACATGTATACCTTTACCGATGAAGTAGAACACATTTTCTGTTCATTTTGTACTCATAATCATTTGTAACATAAATAAGTATGGGTAAAGTAAAATTTTCGGCAAAGTTTTCCTTTCCATTTGAACAAAAATGGTTTAAATTTCCTTGTTAATTGATGATCACTTTTATTTTTACGCGAATCAGAGATTTGCTTATAAGTAAAGTATTGCAGTAAAGTGAATTTATTTCTTAAATATTGACACGTGTAAACATATTTTACATTTCAAATTATATGTTTTGAACATTTTCCTAAAACAGATGAATGGTTTCGTCCAAAACGAAAGAATGGCAAATCTACTTAAAATATATAGCCAGGTTATGAATAATGTCTTGCTTTATTTACTGGAACTGAATGAACAAGAGCTGTCCGTAAGACAGCGCGCTCGACTTTTTTATTGCTTGCCAATAAAAAAAGTTTTTGCAGTAAAAGGCAATACAAGAATCTCTGTATTTTTAAAGTGAACAATGGCCATGAGCATTAAGATATTTAGTGAAGAATTATTTTACTGAATTGTGTGATACCCTTGAACACTGCAGCAAAGTTTGAAATGTTTAAGTCAAAAGAGGGCTGGTAAGAAAGAAAAAAAAACTGAGTTGAGCCTTAAATAAATTTAATAGTATTAAACCCACTTTGAGAGTGAACAAGTGGATAGGAATGATTTTTTTTAGATTTTTTAAGTTTTTTAGTGCTTGCCTATAATACAAAACATTGACAGTTAAGGGCCATAATTCAAATAAAATCTTTGACAGAATTACCTTCTCCTGGACATGTTTGGGAATCATGATTGTAAACAAGTATTCCAACTTTCAAATTAATATCTCAAACAGTTCAGTCAAAAAGTGGACTGGTACTAAAAACTTAACCAAGATTCTAAGTCGATAAAAGGCCTTAATTTTTTAAAACAAATCCTTGACAGAGTTACCTTCTCTTGCGTACAGATGGGGGTAATGATGTGAAATAGCATTAAAAGTTTCAAAGCAATATCTCAAAGGGTTAAGGCAATAAGTGGATTTTACCCATATTCAATGTATTTTCTAAGTCAAAAAGGGGCATAATTCTGTCAAAAACCTTGACAGAGTTATGTCCTCTTGTCTGTTGATGAAGGTCGTGATGGTAAACAAGTATGGTCAGTTTCAAAGCAATACCTCCAATGGTTTTGAAATAAAGTGAGGTGGTACAAAAAACTTAACCAAGATTCTAAGTCGATAAAAGGCCTTAATTTTTAAAAACAAATCCTTGACAGAGTTACCTTCTCTTGCGTACAGATGGGGGTAATGATGTGAAATAGCATTAAAAGTTTCAAAGCAATATCTCAAAGGGTTAAGGCAATAAGTGGATTTTACCCATATTCAATGTATTTTCTAAGTCAAAAAGGGGCATAATTCTGTCAAAAACCTTGACAGAGTTATGTCCTCTTGTCTGTTGATGAAGGTCGTGATGGTAAACAAGTATGGTCAGTTTCAAAGCAATACCTCCAATGGTTTTGAAATAAAGTGAGGTGGTACAAAAAACTTAACCAAGCTCAATACACTTTCTAAGTCAAAAAAGGGCCATAATTCTGTCAAAAACCTTGACAGAGTTATGTACTCTTGTCTGTAGATGGAGGTTATGATGGTGAACAAGTATGGTAAGTTTCAAAGCCATACTTGTAATACTTCTGAAATAAAGTGGGGTGGTACGAAAAACTTAACCAAGGTGTGACGCCGACGCCGACGCCGGGGCGAGTAGGATAGCTCCCCTTTTCATAGAAAAGTCGAGCTAAAAATGTATGTTTACAAAAAGAAGAAAATCATGCACTGTAAACATGTTGGTTTTTTTTGGGCAAAGGGAGGTAATAAGAAAGGATACAGTCACTATCTTGTACAGAGTTATCTCCATCTTGATCGTCAGCATCATCTCTAATATTGTTGTCAAGGAAAAAAAATGTTGTTGACAACAGCTATAACATCAATTAAGTACATACATATAATACATGTTAATGAAAATTAACATGTACATTCAAATTTCTTTGTACTTTATAGCACAAGAAATCTGCACTGAAAGACACTTTAAACACAGTGTATTTTTCCATTAAAAATGTCCATTCTTTTGTGAATGGGTCTGTGTCAATTTAAAATGTGAAAATTAGCTTCAAATTGCCATTATTTGTGAAAATAGTTCTATCATGTGTTTGAAAATGCCTTATTTAATGAAAAACACCTTTTTAAATAAAGTCCCATAGTATGTTGTCTTTTTTTCTCAAGTTTGTAAGTCATGCATGATTTCTTAAAAACACATTTTTAAAAAAAATAAGTCCCATTGTATTTTGTCACTTTTTCTCAAGTTTTTAGGTCACTTATGAGTTTCTCAAAAATGACAATTTTACAATTGTTAATATTCATTAAACAATTGTGAAATAAGATACTTTTATGCTGCCCTATTTCGGCCCAAAAAATATGTGGGAAAAAAAACAACACTTTTTAATTCTAATAGTCCACAAGACCATGCTACATGGCAAATATCTAAGTTCTAGGCATTGCAGTTTTACACAAGAAATCTTATATCCTGTGTTTTCTAAAGAAGATTATTAAATAAGTGACATCGGGGCCAAGCCATTTTATCCCTAGGGGCATGATTTATTAAAATTTAGTACAGGACAACAAGGTGATGCTAAATATCTGTAGTCTGGAAAAAGTTGTTTCTGAGAATTTTCGAGTTTTTATCGTAAAAGTATATATTTACCTGTTGTGACCTACTAACATTTAAGCATAATTGGAACTATTTATAATTTATAAAACTTTTCTAAAAGGTCACCTAAGGATAATTCCTGTGAACTTTAGTCAAAAAATGTATATTGGGACTAAAGAAATTGCGGATATTCCGGGATAATCATGAAGAACTGATGACAGACACATTGCCACCACAAAAGCTCATGTCTGTGCCCTGGTGAACTGTGTTTTTTTTTCTGTTTTGTTTCACAAATGCCCATAATTTTGTGGAATTTTCAATATTAAAATGTGAATTTACAACAGTGGAATTTACCCCACTGGAAAAAAGGCTTTCAATCTCTTAATATGCAGAAAAAAAACGCCACAGCAAAGGATACTCCTCCCCACTGGAAACGTGAGCATACTGTGCTAAAATCGCCGCCTTTCTGGCAACCTCCTCCGCCGTCTTCTCTCGTGTTTTCACAGTCTCGATCTTCTGTTTCTCTAGTATAACAGCTAAATGATCCGTCAGCTCAGCTGAAAAGTTCAAAATATGAATATCCATACTTTATAATAATTATTAATAATATTTATCACAGGGATTTAATTTAATTTAACATGATTTTGTTTTTATGGCAATATTTTGTTTGGTTTGGTTTTATGTCAAACCAACACTTTCAGTTTTATTGGTAAAGGAAGACCTCAGGTGCTACTCAGTGCATTATTTCTGACACAAGCTGGCACCTGTGAGTATGGATACAAATGTATATGAAACATACATTAAAATGATTAATTTTAAAAGACTAAAGGAACATGGTTTTAAAATATGCTGATTTGCAATGAAACAAATTCAATTCTAGAATAAAATTAGGCAATAACAATAAAATAAATTACAATAACACTAAGATCAATTTTTGAATTATCTTTTAAATGTTCTTATCAAGGTAATATTGATTTTATTTTAAATTTTCACTTAATATTAAATATCAAATAATATACATGTATACAATGTAATACAGTAGACAAAAAAGAAATTTTGAATTATTAATTTTTATCCTGATTATTAAATCTATGTGAACATACATTTTATGGCCTTAAAATGAATAACAGATAATAATGTGCCTCTTTTTTAGTGCATTTACATCTGCAAAAGCATTCCAATTTAAGCCTGAGCCAGTGGTCCGAGGGCTTTTGCAGTGCAGGAAGAAAGGTGCATTAGCGCTATGCTTGCATAAAAGTATATGACATCTTAAGCAGCTTTTCCATGTTCCTATTAAAAAAAACCCAAAAAACATCGATTATGTTATGCTTCCCACGTGCCAGTGCAATGTCATTTGACACATGATTTGACAATAAAATTACTGAGGCTGTTATTGCATTTGGCTGTTGTGTAGCGAGTCATGCAGATTAAAACACATGCAACACCTGCATGTGGTCATGAGAATTTATCCCTTAAAGCATGTTTTTTTTGTCTTTATAATGTATACCTTTGTGAGTGATATTATGCAAGAATGTACTTTTACATACCCGAATGACCTTTTTCATTTTCCTGTGATTTAGATCCATGGATTTCTTCCCATTTATCACATATTTCATCACAAGCATTCTGTTGACCATCCTCCTATAAAATTGGAGAAAAAACATGATACATTCTGGTTATACTAAAGCATTCTTCTGTGCAAGTTTATCATAACTGTACATGTAAGTCTTGTACCTTCCCAAACCATTATTAGTTTTCAAATCTGACAACAAATATGCATACATATTTCTAACCATGCTAAATGCATTTTGTATCTTTCAATTTTGACAAAACCATTTTCATCATTATTTTGGAAAAAAAAAATCAAAATAATAACAAGAGGGCCATCATATGGCCCTGAGGTCGCTCACCTGTATATAGGCCCCCCCCCCCCACCCCTGGGCCAATTTTTACCCAAGGGCTTTTATTTGTTTATTTGAACAGACTTGGTAGACACCCATAAGAGAATGTTTCATGCTAAACATTTAAGTTCTAGCTCATTGGGTTTTTTAAAAGAAGATTTTTAAAGTTTTTACTATACACATATAGTTAAAAACAATGACACCCTGGGGCAGGGCCAGTTTTGACCCCCGGGCTTTTATTTGAACAAACTTTGTAGATATTTACTTAAAGATGTTTCATGCTTAATATCTAAACTCTAGCTATTTGGGTTTTTTCATAGAAGATTTTTAAGTTTTTGCTATACACATATAAGGAAAATCAATGACCCCCCCCCCCGGGCGGGGCCAGTTTTGACCCCAGGGCTTTTATTTGAACATACTTGGTAGACACCCATTAGAACATGTTTCATGCTAAATATCTTAGCTCTAGCTCTTTGAGTTCTTTAAAAGAAGATTTTTTAAGTTTTTACTATATGCATATAGGGAAAGTCAATGACCCCCTGGGGCGGGGTCAATTTTGACCCCAGGGCTTTTATTTGATCAAACTTGGTAGACATCCATTAGAAGATGTTTCATGCTAAATATCTTAGCTCTAGCTCTTTGGGTTCTTTAAAAGAAGATTTTTTAAGTTTTTACTATATGCATATAGGGAAAATCTATGACCCCCTGGGGCGGGGCCAGTTTTGACCCCAGGGCTTTTATTTGAACAAACTTGGTAGACATTCACTAGAAGATGTTTCATGCCAAATATCTAAGCTCTAGCTATTATGGTTCTTTAAAAGAAGATTTTTTAAGTTTTTACTATATGCATATAGGGAAAATCAATGACCCCCCGGGGTGGTGCCAATTTTGACCACAGGGCTTTAATTTGAACAAACTTGGTAGAGACTCACTAGAAGATGTTTCATGCTTAATATCTTAGCTCTAGCTCTTTGGGTTCTTTAAAAGAAGATTTTTTAAGTTTTTACTATATGCATATAGGGAAAATCAATGACCCCCTGGGGCGGGGCCAATTTTGACCCCAGGGCTTTTATTTGAACAAACTTGGTAGACATTCACTAGAAGATGTTTCATGCTTAATATCTAAGCTCTAGCTCTTACGGTTCTTTAAAAGAAGATTTTTTAAGTTTTTACTATATGCATATAGGGAAAATCAATGACCCCCCTGGGCGGGGCCAATTTTGACCCCAGGGCTTTTATTTGAACAAACTTGGTAGACACTCACTAGAAGATGTTTCATGCCAAATATCTAAGCTCTAGCTCTTAGGGTTGTTTAAAAGAAGATATTTAAAGATTTCTCTTTCGGTTGCCATGGCAACTAGAGTTCTGCATGGAATTAAATTCTTTGAACAATTTTTAAAGGTGACCACCAAAGGAACATTCCTGTGAAGTTTGGATGAAATTGGCTCAGTGGTTAATGAGGAGATGTCATTTAAAGCAAAAGTTTACGGACGGACGACGGACGGACGGACGCCGGACGAAAAGCGATCACAAAAGCTCACCCTGTCACTTTGTGACAGGTGAGCAAAAAACTAGACCTATCACTGAAGGTGATTAATACCCCCACCAGCAACTTTTTGAAAAATAAGTAGTCTGAAGAAAAATTTCAACACAAACTATCAACTGTGTACAAAGAAATATTTCAATTAATTGTAATCCCAACTGGGGTCTCCAAATAAGCTTGCTTTTCACAAAGTTTGATTACAATATCTCATTCCTAACTCTAGTTATTGTCCGGAAACCATTTTTCTATTTTAAGGAATGGTGACCTTGACCTAGACCCCAGGGGGTCCAAATGCAATACCAACCCAGGTCTTCATATAAGCTTGCTATACACCAAGTTTGATAACAATATCTCATTCCTAACTCTAGTTATTGTCCGGAAACCATTTTTCTATTTTTAGTAACGGTGACCTTGACCTTGACCCCAGGGGGTCCAAAAACAATACCAACCCAGGTCTTCATATAAGCTTGCTATACACCAAGTTTGATTACAATATCTCATTCCTAACTCAAGTTATTGTCCGGAAACCATTTTTAGTAACGGTGACCTTGACCCCAGGGGGTCCAAATGCAATACCAACCCAGGTCTTCATATAAGCTTGCTATACACCAAGTTTGATAACAATATCTCATTCCTAACTCAAGTTATTGTCCGGAAACCATTTTTCTATTTTTAGTAACGGTGACCTTGACCTTGACCCCAGGGGGTCCAAATGCAATACCAACCGGAGTTTCCACATAAGGTTGCTATATACCAAGTTTGATTACAATACCTCATTCCAAACTCTAGTTATTGTCCGGAAACCATGATGTGGACCGACCGACGGACCGACCGACCGACAAGCTGACTCCTATATACCCCCCCTAAACTTCGTTTGTGGGGGTATAATTATATGAAAGAAAGAAGTGCCCGCTGATCTTGGTCTGCACTGGTTGGTGTGTAGAATCAGTTCCTGTTAGCATGCTCAGGTTGGTGGACAGTGTAATCAGCAGAATGTTTTCTTTTTATCATTCTTGATATAAATCATTCTTATACTGGTAACTGTAAGTGGTCCGAAGTCGAAAACCTTAACCACTGCTGATGCTTAATTTAGCCATATTTATATGTCTCATAATTATAAACTAAAGTACAGTGTGTCAAAACTGACCCATACTTCTTAAGTATTTTTATAGAATTGGAGTATTCTTTAAAGCTTTCAAAGATTTATTGGAGCAAAGCATTTTTATGATAAATATAACATCTTGCTAACTGTTTCTCATTAATAGCAGCAATTAGCCCTTAACTTCTGAAATTCTTATTTATAATAATAAATGGACATGTCCATCTAACATTTTTGGAACTGAACTAGGTTGTACACCCCCACAGTATAGAAAATGAAAAGTTTAACATGCATAATATTATTAAGATATAATATTATATATATATTTGAATGTGACATTATATTTGAATTTTCGCCGAAAAAATTATAAGTGTAATTCACAGATGAGTTTCCTAAAAGTAGTACATACAATTTTAATTTTTATGCGAAAAAAAAAAAAGGAATATGATACTCTATTATGGCAATAGTGTTTTTGTACGGCTAGAACTTTTGGCTTATAGCCCGAACTGATAGCCACTTTCTATAATCAAAATAACTTCATCAAATCATTATACACAAGAAATTGTTTACATACTTCAACAGAATAACTGAATTTAATCAAATCCTTATATTTCTTATTTTCAATTGTTTTTCAGTCTTTTTGTTTTTTAGTGTTTTTCAGCTTTCCCATGCTCTGTAACTGTAACGTAACATTTATAAATTAGGCAGTGGCTAGATGTACGGGCCAGTATTGCTTAACAAAAGTTCTAGCCATACATCATTACATGTACTTGAGTCATGTACCAATAGCCCAGTGATTTTTTTTCCAATTTTCAAAACAACCTGTGGCTTTCTGTAGCGCGATAAATCAGAAAAGGGGAAAATCAAATTCCAACAACTGAGAATGGAATTTACCCACACATTTTATAAAAATCTTAATTTCAATTCAATTTAACACGCATGGTACACAGCAGAGGCTATAGGGACAGCTTTCTGTCTAACTCTTCTAGCTGATATAATAAGTCAGATGCTGTTTAGTAATGGTTCTGGTAAAGAAGTGCACAGGGCATTACAGGGTAAAATATTAACTGTTTTAGGGGAATATATACCTATTTTGAGCTAGGGGAAACAGCCTTTATTCGGCTGTAAAATACAGGAAAAAAAACTGTAGCCTATAACCACTGTTGAGGCTAGTTATACAGCATTTTTAAAATGAAATAGAAGGGTTTTTGTCACAAAAACATATGTCTCCCAAAACTATGTATGGTCACTCCAGACCTGTGAATTTTGCTTGAAATCCCAACAGCAGTTTAACCTGTGATAGCACAGGCCTAGACATTAACTTTTGAATCAGGTTGTCCTGTCGGGCAAGTAGTTTTTAAAACTACTTGCCCGTGACCTAAGACTTACTTGTCCTGACCTAAAAATGGTAAAAATGTATAAATCAGAAAAACATGCATTTTGTCAATGATGCTTTTTATTTTCACTTGCCCTGTCGGACAAGTGCTTTTCAAAATAACTTGCCCGGACCAAACTTTTAGTTGTCCCGGGCAGTCGGACAACCGTTAATGTCAAGCCCTGTAGCAGGACAGGATTTTTTCCATTTTAAGCTCCGACAGCCATTTTGTGCAGTGATGCACTGCAGAACATGCCAGCGATATGCACAACTAGGGATGGTAATATGATCACTCATGTTATGTTTCATTGAAATCCCACCTGCTGTTTGACCTGTGAAAACAGGACAACATTTTTCTATTTATAGCTCTGGCAGCCATTTTTTGCAACAAAAAGAAACATATTATGGTGATATGCACAACTAAGGATGGTACTAATCATTCCTGTGAAGTTTAATTGAAATCCAACATGCAGCTTGACCTGTGAAAGCCAGAAAAGATTTTCTATTTATATCTATGGCGGCCAATTTGTGCAGCAAGTCATAATGTGCCATGATATGTACAACTAGGGATAGTATTGAACCGTTCTGTGCAATTTTCATTGAAATCCTACCAGCAGCTTGACTTGTGAATGCTGGACAAGATTTTCTATTTTTAGCTCTGGCGGCCATTTGTGCAGCGAAAAGGAACATGCTGGGGATATGCACAACTAGGGATATGCACAACTAGGGATAGTACTGATCACTCCTGTAAAGTTTGGGGGGCGGGGGAATGGGGAACTTGGAACTTGATTTATGCCACTTGCAATAACACAGAAATATTTTTAATCAAGTTAAATGGTTTTTGCGCAAGTTAACCGGGGTTAATGTACCGACTTGAAGCAGATTTTACAGAGGTCAGAAATCAGAAATTATAATCAGCCGTTTCTGGTTTTAACATGTCGCGAAATGCCAAGTATTATGTCCTTTTTTTCACAATATTATGAAATATCACGCTTTTTTTCCACAAAATGAACAGGCCCATTCACAATTTTGACAAAAAAATGCCCTGTGTGAAAGCTGAACAAGCTTAATGCTGACAGACAGACAGACAAACAATGGGACAGACAGGTGGCAGAGGCAAAACAATATGTCTCCCAAAATTTTGGAGGACATAATTACGTAAATCAAAATTAAATAAATGGACAACTGATGGATATGCAGTGATTTTTCAACTTATATAACAGACTTCAAAAAAAGGCCTCTTCCCAATTGAAATTTGTCTTTAAAATCATGCAGTTTTCCCACAAAACTGGACTTAAACCAGCTTTTTTACTTCCCAAAATCAGCGTTTTAAGCGTTAATTTTTCCCAAAATGAAGAGGCTAAGGTATTTCAATTTAGAAAAAATATGGGTTTGTTCATTCTTTGTGAAAATGTAATAAGATGTGCAAGTCATTGACTTCATCATTGCATTTTTTATTATTGAAAAAATGCTGTATGACTAGCGTATACAGTGTGCATAGTGACTCACATATGGCTAGAACATTTATTTGATAGAATTCATTAATTTACTGAAATGTTATAATTGTAGGAGACATGTTTAGTAAATCGTCTTCTGAAATACATGTTTTTTTGTAAATGTTGCCGATTTGGTAAAGGGCCGATATATCAGGGACCAAATTTAAACGTCTTGGGTAGTTTGTGGGCGAAAGTCGAAACGTCTTGAGGCCGAAACTATCCTAAATCATTACCACAACTTGTCCAATTAACTCGGTAATAGATTCCTTCTTTTCATCGCTAGAGCTATCTTCATCTAGAATACCAGTGATATACGATACAAAAACATCTGTATCTGTGTCAGGATTCAAGGAGAGTAGTTTTTCAGTTAACCAGCTTTCAAATGCTGCCGTGGAGGCTGCCATCTTTGTTGGTCACTAATTGACGTTGCGTACCGTTACTAAACCGGATGTTATGAGGATCTTCCAATATGAACAAAAGTAACAAAAGCTTTTCTTCAAACCATTAGACCACATAAAGTAATTTCTATTGGACAAAAACCTCTTGACAATACCTAATTACTCCACAAAATAGAGAAAAACAGGATCTACTTCACGTATTTATAACAATAATATCCCCCTAATATGTAGTCAAAATATATTGACGTGCCAAAGCTTGATTCTGAGATATTTTCGTTCTGGGGCAGAATCTCGCTTTAGAGGCCCAGACACGAAAATAGCACAATATCTCGTCACGGAGTACAATTAGTTGGACTATCTAATATGCAGACCCCCCCCCCCAAAAAAAAAAATAAAAAGAAAAAAAAAGATCCTTTATCATCCTTATTTGTTGTGTAAATTATGTTGAAAATGTGTACATAACACTTGATTGGTTCAATAGAGTAATCTTATTCTTGAGAACAATACTGATGCTATATATTGGACTCGTACACAGCTGCAAAACCTAGGGACTATCTAATATACATGTAGATTTCTCGTCCAACAGAATTCATTAAAAATATTGAACTCAACAATGTATAATGACCTCATATTATTATACGTACACAATGTACTATATAAAAAGTACAGGATTTTTCACCAGGCCCCGTGTTCACAAAGAAAAGATCAGGATCAAGTGATCCTAATTTTATTTTCATTGTTTAATGTTATCAAAATTAATTATGTTTTGCTAGAATTGATAGTAAATATTTAAAAATGTAAACAATTGCTGATTTACAAAGAAATCAAACTATTTTGGGATAAAATTAACAAATAACAAAACAAATACAAAAATATTCGGATCAAAATAAGGATCAATTTTAGGATCAAGATCAATATTTGGATCAACTGTAAAATGCCCGTATCTTGTAAAAATAACAATAAATTTATTCAAAAATTCATTAATTTGCTAGTGCACATCAAGTTTTATCAAATTAATATTACATATTTAATCTATAAGGATAAAAATGAAGAATATGAGAGTTTTTAAATTTGATCCTGATCTTGATCCTGATCCTTAAGTCTTTGTGAACACGGGGCCTGAGCTCGCTAGGGGGTCGCACAATTTTGACAAGTTACATATTTGCATATTACAAATGGGGTTTGACATTTACCATGCGATTTTACTAATAACGTGACTTTTGCTATTTAAAAGAGACGTAAGTTGATTCCAATATCTCAAAGGGGTTCCATATTACCCCCTATAATTAACCCTCCCCTGGATCCGCGCATGTATAACCTAATATTGCAATCTTCTTGCGAGTTTGCGACATCAGTCATTAATTGTTTTAACTACAATTTAGATATTTATGAACCCTAAATTGTATTATTTTAATTATCTAGCTTAATATCCTAATTATAAAGAACGGTCCAAAGTGACCCCAACCATTGCCATTTAATTTAGTTGTGTGCACCCTTTATTAACGTGTTTTTTGTGGCGACCGGTAGCTGATATTTCAGTGATTAAAAGAAAATGGTAAGAGTTTAAGTGTTGACAGTTTATTTGGATGTTGGCCTTTTAACAGAACTATGATAGCAAACATTCTTCTTATGTGGAAACCTCTTAAATTTAAGCCAGTAATATTATTTTTACGAAAATTGATGGGAGGTAACTATAACCGCTTCCATTCCGTGTTAGGTATCGGACCACCAATAGTTGTGTTATTGCTACTTTAAATTAATTAGAAATGGATAAAATGTGATTTTTTAAAAAAATTTACATTTTCTTTTCTCTATCAAGCATAAGGTCCCGAAATTAAGATCTAATTTACCCCCCCCCCCAAAGGTCTGTCTCTGACGCCAAACAACTAATCCAGAATGACAGCAAATTGTATTGCAAATTCATTACAGCGTGTAATTGAGTTGGGTTCGATGCAATTTACTAAAATTGCTGTCGTTGCTGGGTTATTGCCGTCCATGGAACTACTTATAGGATCCCGTGTGCCCTGAAGTATACTCGATCACATGCATACCCACTGTTGGGGGGGGGGGGGGTAGGGACAGCACGTACGTTACTCCTTGCTAAGAGATATATAGATAGTTTTATTCTGGTAAAAATACATGTCATAAAACAACTACAAATTCAATGTCAACATCAAGAGATACATGTAAACATTAAAGTGCATGTGTTGATGTCATATATTCAATTCCAAGGATGACACAAAAAGAAGGCAAAAACCGACTTATTTCCATTGTGGTCCTTAATTAGAATTGATCATATGACACCAGAAAGGCAAAATATTTACTAATTATGAAGTATTGCACATAAATTATTCGATCACAATTTCTTATATCAATTATTGCAGATAAGTATTTCCATCACACACAGAGCCTAAGAGCCTTAGCCTTTGTTTATTTTCAGTAACTGCTAACATATTAACTCTTTGTTTAAGCCATAATTTTGTTTTGATTAAATTTTTATGTGGATTAAAAACAACAACAACATAAATTTACTAAAAGACTGACTTGAATTGTTATTTCCATGACCTTAGGTCTATGTACATGTATTTTAAACATGCAGGCATTTCCCAAAGTTAATAAAAGAGAACAAATAAAAGGAAGAGTTTGGTACATGAATGCAAATGCGATGAAAGGTTAAAGTACTATCTGAAACATTTAAGTCCCAGGCACTATATATTAAAATTATATAACACATTTTGAACAAAAGAGATTAACAGGTATTTTTTTCTGAATTTCCATCTAACGATTGGGGGTAAAATGATAATAAAAATTTTCTGCTATTATCCAATTGCCCACTTAAAAGAAAGAATATTCAGTTGCCAGTTGAATAGAAATACTGTATACATGTAGGATCATTATCCGTTCATATCTCATAACAGAATAAAATGCGGATTGTTATCAATAAAAATATTGTTGCAATAAACATATTTTCCTGTAAAGTCTATCTTTCAATTCATTTAGAAAAAAAAATAAAAAAATATGCCCATTTTAATTACGGATTTTTCCTTTCAATTCATTTAGAAAAAAAAGAGTAAATATGCCCATTTTAATTACGGATTTTCTGCCGCTATCTTGATCACTGGATAAAAATAGTGTTTACAGTATCATTATCCGAGTGTCCAATTAGGAAAAAAAACATTGTTTTCTGTTATTTAAGCATTGCTTATTGTAACTATGTCTCCCATTGCAGACTAGAAGAATGAATATTATCGTCTGCCATTATTCTGTTATTGTCTGCCATAATTCCATCACTGAGATAAATGTCACAGGGTGAGAATAATGTGTAAGCAGCCTGACAGGGACTCGAACCCGGGACCCTCGGAATACCGTTCCGCGGCTCTACCGACTGAGCTATCCGGCCGCTTACACATCTTCTCCCGTAAATTGTGAACAGTAATGAACCGTGACAGGCCCCCCCCCGCAATATTGAAATTCGTCCTTGATTTTCATAATGCTACAGAGCAATGCTAATTAAACTCTGAGCTATAAGCAGTCACGGCCCCACGTTGGGCGCCAAATGTCACATGATGAGAAAAATGTGCAGGCCGGGACCTTCGGAATTCCGTACCGCGGCTCTACCGACTGAGCTATCTGGCTACACATCTTCTCCCCTAAATAGTGAACAGTTCTGAACCGTGACATAAAAATAAAGATTAGTGTCAAGATTAATAACCTACTGGTAGAATATCTGAAAAAATGAAAACTATTTTGTGCCATTATGCCCTTAGAAAAATTTATTCTGTTTACAGACGAGGACGGACATTACTTTCAAATCTGAAAATGCGAAAGGAGATTGCCCCGGTGTTCTTCAAGGAACGGGTCAGAATAGAACAAAAGGACTGATAGTCTTACAGGTAAATACATGTATTTGTTGTTTGTAATTCCCAAAATATTTATTATATTATTCTTTAGTAGTATTATGAACCATGACCTTTTTGGACCTTTTGAGGACAGCTTTGCATAATAGGCTTTTTTGGGGTTGATTGAAACTATTATAATCTAGGTCGCCCATGAGAAAACCAACATAGCGCAGAAAAATGACGTCACCGAGAAGAGGTTAAGACGTCTAAATATGCACGCTTTTAATCAATTTAACGCGTACCTAATTCCAACTTGTAACATTCTATATACATGTTTATACGTTGCGCGTTGTGCGCACGAGAAAATTTTGCGAATACACGTATTAATGAAACGTTTTTATCAAACCGTTTTCTTATAATACGTTACATTTTATTATGGGTAGCTCTAACTAGAACGTTATGCTCGCTTGCACTGTCACATTTCGTGGTACAAAATGGCAAATTGTGATTTATTTAGAATATATCATGCGTTCGTTTATTTGCGATAACTTTACTTAGTTTATAAATGAATATTAATTTTAGTAGAATATTTGTTTCTGCCTTTTAATATAGAACGATCGACATTCACAATTCAGGTATATAAGTGCGAAGTAATTCATAACATGAAAGATAAATGTAAAACAGTTACGCATTTTGGCAATAAAACAAAATGTCAGTTTCTCATTTGTTTTTATATAATTTGAAGTACATGTAATTGTTTAGCTAATTTTTGTGTCGCCTTGAAAAGGCGACATATAGGGATTACTTTTGTCGGCGACGTCGTTGTCGGTGTCGGAGTCGGCGTTCCCTAAAGCTTGTCCGGAGCATAACTCAGTCACTATAAGTCTGATTGACTTCAAACTTGGTATGCGTGCTTCTTTCAATAACCCGAAGTGCAGTGTACAAGAATCGGTACTCTGCACATCTTATTTTTTGAGTTATTCCCCTTTGTTAATTTTAATACTTCATTTTTGTCCGGGCCATTTCTCCTAAAGTATAAAAGCTATGGACATGAAACTTCATAGGATGATAGATCTCATTCAGAAAAAGTGCATTGTACAAGAACCGGTACTCTGTATTTCTTATTTTTGAGTTATTACCCTTTATTAATTTTCATACTTTATTTTTGTCCTGGCCATTTCTCATAAATGATAAAAGCTATGGACTTGGTTTAAACATATTTTATTTAGAATATTTGTACATGTGTAAATAACAACATAACAATAATTATAGATTTTGGCCGAAAGCAGAAGCTTATAGCTATGGACTTGAAACTTCATAGGATAATATATCTTATTGATAAGAAGTGCAGTGCAAAGAAACTGCTGCTCTGCACTTCTTTTTTTTGAGTTATTGTCCTTTGTTAATTTTCTTGTCCTGGCCATATCTCCTAAACTATATTGTTCACAAGGCGACACATCCGACTCGCGGAGTTTTAGTCTAGTATGATATTTAGTGCTCGCCATTTTTTTTAAGCCAATCACCGACGAGGATTTTTCAAATTTTCAGGTTTCAAATCTTAATAGAACAGATTTTATATAAACTGGACGTTTTATATTATAAAACGCAAGTGGGCGGAGCTAAGTTTCGAAGAGCGCTAAAGTGAAATATACGCATGTGCAGAGATCTTGAAGTTTACTCCTACTAATCAATATTTATGCATCATGTTTTTTCCGTACACGCACATGTATATCGTCACTTCAGCATATAATTAAAAAAAAGAGGGGTTCGTTGAAATGAAAACAGGCAAAGAACAGTAAAAAAATGTTTTATTGCGACGGACGCGCCCTCAGGCGCGTTCAGAGCTAAGTCATCTACACATGGGATTTCGTTGGCTACACTCGCGCAATGTGTCCTAAACCGATTAACAGCCCAAGAAATAGTACATGAATTTGATCCTTCAAAACTCCCATACTTTGTCTGGATATCTTAATGTCTTCCATATTTAGCCTTTTCAATTTCAAATTAAGTTATCCAAGTTAAAATATGAACGTATATTATTGATAAAAACGTTGTAGTCCCGTAGTATTATTGCGCAATATGCAAATTACTGCTGAAACGATTTACCGCTGTCGAAAAAGTAGGACAGCAAATTATACTACAATAAAGGTGTAACCTCTGAGTTCCAAGACATTATTAGTAGGAAATAAATATTTCTACATCATACAAAACATTATTATTAACAAATCAAAAGTTTTTCGTGACTCTAGGATAACTCGCGCATTAATAAAAGAAGAACTATTTTCGTGACTCATACCGCGGGTTTAGCTGAATATTCAGCAGTTATTAATATATTAGATTCAGTACAATAGTTAATATCTATTTTTGAAAATGCATGTAAGAAGTGAGTTTTCAACACTTTACCGCCATGTAGTCTTTCATGGTAAGGAAGTTATAATATCAGTTCTACTTCCGATTCTTGTGGTTTGTTTACATATTTTTCTAGGTCATGATATGAATTAACCTTCGCTATTCTAAAAATAGATTCTGCTTCACCTGTTCTGATTTTTGGACAGGCGATTAGGTATGGAGGCTATTCGTTGCCAAAAATCCAGCCTTGTTGATCTGAGTTGAACAGTTTGTTAATGGAAAAAATACAATTGTATTTCTTTGTATGTAAACTCCAATGTTGCATACTTGGATTGAGTTTGCCGATTTAACATTGTAAACATGCATTTCAACAAAATACATTTTGTTAAACGACAAAACATTAACTGATAGTAGCAATACCAAGTGTTCGAATACTCAAAACAGAAGTTACATTCTTAGCTTTACATTGTCGAACCATCATGATTCAGATCAGCATAATCCAGCTTTACACGTTTTTCAATAGGAGATAAAATAAGCTCCGCCCATTTTCCCGCCCACTAAATCATCGTAAATAAACGTATTTTCCGCTCATTTTCGGTATTTACCGTCGGCGACAAGAAGCGGCGTAGTTTCCGTTTATCATACCTTTTAGGTGTTTAGTTACTAAACATAATTCACTTGCATGATTGCCTACAATCAACATCAGCGGACTGTAAAGGAATATAGGCATATAAGTTTTAAAACGTTGTAGACACCACATTTCCTGGAAAAAGAAACTTAAAAAAACCCCAAAAAGATCAGGTTACATAATGTCTGAGGTTAAATATTTTTCAAGGAAGTGAAAACTATTGAAAAGACTATATTCAACGACAAATAAATTTTACTGATGATATTTCAATTTGCATAGGAATGAGTAACATTTACAGTTAAGCTGCTACCTTACCACTTTCAAATTTTCAAGTCAACATCTGATAGAGATTTTGATACGACTAATTACTAATACAGACCAAATTCTGGCTGTTGTCTTTCCTAGTAGTACTATTATATTAGTAGCCTTAATTCTAGCGTATGACCTGACAAGAAAAAAACTTTTAACAATAGTAAAATTATAACCAAAGTTGTATGTACCCTTTCGTACATAACTTTTTATTTTACCATATATTTTCCCATTTTTCCCATTTTGTTTTTCAATAAGTAAAAATTAAAAGAGTCCAAATGTATGTATGTTGATTATCAATTTATGTATACTTTGTTTCAGTGATTCAGATTGGACACACTTTCCTTAGGACAGATGTCCTAAATGGGCATATTTTTTTAGGTCATTTGTCCTAAAGTACAAAAAAAACTTAAGACATTTTTTGTAACAGTCAAATGAATAATAAAACATTATTGACACTTTCAAGTTTACTTTATTAATATCCCTTTTGTTTGGAAAATATTTCATTCATTTCTATTTCAGTCAGTTAAACAATTTTCTAGGTACAGCTGCTTTCCATGCCTTTAAAGCATCTTCAAATGGGAAATCTTCCCTAGGCTTGCCATTTATCCTTATCCTCATGATTTGGTCCTGAGTGTCAGGATTGAGCCTGTTTCTCAAAGCTGTAAGAGTTTGATTTTGAACAGAAAACCCCCTCTCACAGCCTGCAGTGTTTACAGGACATATGATGGCAAGACTGGCCAATATCAAAAGGTTAGGGAACTGTTCACCATGAAACTTATTTATAAGATGCCACAGTTTAAAGAGATCATCACGGGGATACATTTCTGCTTTAACAAGTATCTTAATCTGTTTCCATTCATTTTTTGTTGCATCTGGATCTATGATTGGAGAGCTGGTCTTAGTGTGCTGCACCCCATCAACCTTCCATTTGTGACTTTTCTCCTCTCCAAAATGATTGACAAGAATGTCTATTTTTTCATCACCCCAGGTTTTCAGTTCAACATCTGACAGCAGTGTGATGGGCCTCATTGAGAGTACCCCAAATGAGGATAGAAGATCAGTATCTGGAAACCTGAAATTATACAAGAAAAACAGAATTATACTATTTTTTAATTTACCTATATGTTATGTTATGTATAAACAATTATAGTTTTTATATGTCATATGAAATAATAACATGTAAAAATACTATCTGCATTTTAGATACTTTATACTAGTGTGGAAAATGTCTTGGAATGCAATGAATTACCTTTTCTCAATATTATTAACAAGTGCAGTGATAAATTTCTCCTTGGCACTAGCTATGTCACTTTTTGGACACTGGGAGATAGTGTGCTCCTTGAAGCAAGTGTCTGTAATGACCTCAGCTAACTTCTGCTCATGGCATCCTGGAGTGCTTATCAACTGCTGTAGGTCTGACAATGTCTGGTCAATCTTCACCTGACAAAAATAATGTTTATTTATAATAATGTTTCTATTAATAAAGGTTTGATTCTTAAATAGTTTTATTGCATGGTTTTAAAGAATGAAGCAATCTGAATTATTTTTATGCTCACCAAGTATAAATCAATACTTCAAGCATTAGTAAGTTTTGTAAGTAACTTTTAAACGAATTTTACCTTGACTAATGCTACATCTGTAATTTCCTTTTGGAAGAAAAGATTCAACTGAGTCACAATTGGAATGATGTCCATCATTATGTAGGTAATAGATATGAACTTCAGTGTGGCAATCTGAAATAATTAAAGTTTCATTATTGTTTGTTGGTCAATTAAATCAACAAGATATTTTTCAGACAAAGTATTTTTATACAGAAAATTATCAATTAAATGTTTTAATTAACATGAAATTGAATTTAAAAATAATTTTGAAATCTTAGCTAGAAAATAAAACACACAGTTGCAATACAATAACATATATGTGAAAAGATATAAAGTTGTAACAAACTTACTGTAAAACAATGTGATTTCATCCAAAATAACTATAACAGCCAACAGCAGCAAACATCTATTAAATAACATACATTGAAATGTAAAATAAAATAGGAACATTCAAACTAAAATCTGTATAACAAAACAGCTAACTCTGAACATGTGGTTATTTTCAGCATTTTAATTTAATGTTTTTTTTGCATTTAAATCAATAAGGTCAATTCATAAATAATAATTTGAATATTGTTTATAGCATGAGCCACAAGATCAATGGCTTTATTCTGTCAGTTGTAAAAAAATGACTTCAAAACTGCTGAAAATATTTAGAAATCAAGTATATTTTATTTTATAACCTGTTTGCAACAGAAACAATTTGACAACCTTTTTTTTCAATCCTTGTGCTTTGGCATCACTCATTGGGGTGGCAGCTAGATAAGTAATCAATGGATCCAAGCCCCTGAAATTAAAAAAAAACATACATTTAAATTGCTGTAATTATGTTCTTTTATGCAAATGAACTTTGTGTTTTAGGATTTTCAAGGAATAAGTTGATATTAAAATAGGCTTGGTCTGTCTATAACTGAAATTGCTTTAAACAATCAAAGATTTTATTCACAATAGCAAACATAAAAATGCATATTGGAAAAAAACATCATGTTATATGTTTTAAATTGAAGTCTGTTTATGCACATTGGCAAAGATGATGATCATGTTATATGTTTAAATTTAAAGTTTTTAAATAGTTTACTTGTAAACTGCTTCAAGTGCAGAGAAGAACGACATCCACCGAACAGCATGGACCTCTTTAAATCTCAATCGGGGGGAGTCCAAGACATCCTGAATGGCCTGTAACTTTGCAACTCTTGCAGCAGAGAATTTGAAGTAGTAAAAGATAGCTGAAATGATTAATCAATTCTTAAATAACTTATTCTTCTTAAAATGTCATGTGCTATATACAAAATCAAAACTAAATACTTTGTTGATTGAAGTAAGCTTACATCAGACTTAGGAAACAAACAAGATTATAAAAATATCTTAGCATTGAATTTGACAGAATTTTTTATTTGTTGGTTTGAAAGAATTTTTTATTTGTTGGTTTATGCTTAGAATTTAATCAAAATTTAGTAAACTGCATAAAAAATGAGCTTATCGATAGTTATAATTATTACTTACATGTTATGACTTCCTGATATGCTTTCATTGGTGGCACAGAATCAGACGCCTGACTTGTACACAACGCTAGTCTGTGGGCAATGCAGTGTACATTCATGATATGTGGGTTTTGACGCAGCATCATGCCTGTAGTTCCTCTGTCTCTACCTGAAATTTTGTAGAATTGCTAAATATTACAAGTCACTATGTATTAGGAATAATCATTGCATTTCAAAGAAAAGTCAACTTTTTTTATAACAGCAATACCACCATGTGTCACATCATAAAAATTTAACTTTGATTTATTGTGCATTGAGTATTAACATTGGTCTCATTTTTATCAGTAAAATTTTGTGCTTAGTTGTAAAAAGTACCTGTCATTGCACTAGCTCCGTCTGTGCCAAGACCCATTATCTTTTCAGGACCAATTCCCCTTTTTTCCAACTCCTTGTATAGTGCAGAAGAAATAGCTGCACCTGTTCCTTCATCTAGGCGAATGTTGCATAAATATAATGTTTCAGGAAACATATCCTCCCCCAAAACCTGGCAATAAATGACTAGGCGGTGTGTAACAGTACGATCTGTTGATTCGTCACAAAGAAGTGTAACAAATGGGGACTTCTGTAGTTTTTGTACAGTATGTGTCTCCACAGTGTCGGATACAGCTTTCAAAAATTCATGACTAGCATAGTCCGACTCATAGCTTATACCGTCAGATACAGACAGATGATTGTAGCCACTCACACCAACACTTTTCTGAAACTCAACGAGTGATTTGAATTTACTGAGCGGTATATTTTCTTCAACCAGGTAATAAACTGTCTTTAAGGCAAGTAGAACCGCTTCTTCCTTGGCAGAGAAGTGCTTGTTCATCACACTTTTAAAGTCATCTTTACAAGCATTTGCCGCTAAAGATCTCTGGTGATCTTTTGATTTAACATGGTCACTAAAAGTACTTGTTCTAAAATTATTACAACCTTGCGTAAATATGTTGTCGCGTCCGTCGTTAATACAAAGGGTACAAAACATCAACTGCTTTTCTGTATTGAACTTAAGCCACTTGTGGGCCTGAAGCCATTTATTTTGAAATGAACGTGGTACTTTAGAATCAGATGAACTACCTTTTTCTTTGATAGGCGGCTGGTTTGATGATTTTTCACTATTAAAACCAACACTAAATAAAGATCGTTGTTTTGCATCAAAGAGAGGTTTTTTCGCCGCCATATTTTTCATACAACAACGATAAACATCGAAGCGTTCCGCACTACACTAAATCAATAAGCGCCGGGTACCGATAAGCGCCTGTATGACTCGGATTATTTTAAATAAACGATTCGTACTTTATCTTTTTAATCGCATAGATAGGGACGAAAATATCTGTTATAATCGAGGCTAAATTGTAAAATGAAGTTTTGACCGTTTGCTACAGAAATTTTTCGGTCAAATTGTCTGACAAACTGAATTTTTCTCGGCCCGATTGACGTACTGAATTTGTTTTTTCCGGTCATCTGTAGCTTTTATCGGCCATTGACCGAAGGGCCGATCCAATCTGAATCACTGTGTTTATTTTATCTCTTAGAAAGCCATCACTTACAAAACTTAATAAATATTCTGTGTAGTATTTCATGTACATAAAAGTAGTTCTCTGTTTTTGATCATATAGACAGCAAATCTAGACAACAAATCTAGGTAACAGCTAATGACAGCATGTATACACATATTTTAGAGGTGCTATTGATTCAGCACAATGCATAAAAAGACCTTAACCTACGTCAGCTTACATATATTTAACAATAAAAGGATAAATCACATCCTATGACTCAAAATACCTCCCAATGGAGGTAAACAGAGTTGCCAGGATACACTGAATATTTATTTCAACATTAAAATGGGACAAATTCACAAGTATTGGTTATACAACGGAATTATCGATAGTAAACTTTGCATTGTTTCGTGGTTATACACTTGGTCAAAAATATGAGTTTTTCTACAATCCAACATAGTCCTTCAAAGAAAGAAGGCACAGGCTTATTGTTCAGTTCTCTTTATTCGTGTTGCCAAAAGTGCCTTCCATGTATCGCATTCTAGTACTATTTGCTGAAGGTAAAAAAAAAGATATGCTTAAGAGTATTGCCGTGGCTCACAAAACCCTATCATTGTTATCAATGATTAGTGATGTGTGTCACTATATATGGGAAACATTTCCTTATTTTATTTCACCAACTTTAGTTTTTGCATATTATTATGCTCATTATCAGTATATACGTTGTTACATTTTTAGCTCGACTATTCGTAGAATAATCGAGCTAATGCAGTCACCCATTTGTCGGCGTCGGCGTCGGCGTCGGCGTCGGTGTCGGCGTCGGCGTCGGCGTCGGCGTCCCTGTGGTTAAGTTTTTGTATGTAAGCTGGTATCTCCATAACTACTGAAGGGAATGGATTGAAACTTCACACACTTGTTCTCTGTGATTATCTAAGATGATTGGCACAAGTCCCATAACTCTGATTTGCTTTTTTACATAATTATGCCCCTTTTTCGACTTAGAAATTCTTGGTTAAGTTTTTGTATGTAAGCTGGTATCTCCATAACTACTGAAGGGAATGGATTGAAACTTCACACACTTGTTCTCTGTGATTATCTAAGATGATTGGCACAAGTCCCATAACTCTTATTTGCTTTTTTACATAATTATTCCCCTTTTTCGACTTAGAAATTCTTGGTTAAGTTTTTGTATGTAAGCTGGTATCTCCATAACTACAGAAGGGAATGGATTGAAACTTCAAACACTTGTTCTCTGTGATTATCTAAGATGATTGGCACAAGTCCCATAACTCTGATTTGCTTTTTTACATAATTATGCCCCTTTTTCGACTTAGAAATTCTTGGTTAAGTTTTTGTATGTAAGCTGGTATCTCCATAACTACTGAAGGGAATGGATTGAAACTTCACACACTTGTTCTCTGTGATTATCTTAGATGATTGGCACAAGTCCCATAACTCTTATTTGCTTTTTTACATAATTATGCCCCTTTTTCGACTTAGAAATTCTTGGTTAAGTTTTTGTATGTAAGCTGGTATCTCCATAACTACTGAAGGGAATGGATTGAAACTTCACACACTTGTTCTCTGTGATTATCTAAGATGATTGGCACAAGTCCCATAACTCTTATTTGCTTTTTTACATAATTATGCCCCTTGACTTAGAAATTCTTGGTTAAGTTTTTGCGTGTAAGCTGGTATCTCCATAACTACTGAAGGGAATGGATTGAAACTTCACACACTTGGTCTCTGTGATTATCTAAGATGATTGGCACAAGTCCCATAACTCTGATTTGCTTTTTTGCATAATTATGCCCCTTTTTTATCTTAGAAATTCTTTATTAAGTTTTTGCGTGTAAGCTGGTATCTCCATAACTACTGAAGGGAATGGATTGAAACTTCACACACTTGATATCTGTGATTATCTAAGATGATTGGCACAAGTCCCATATTTCTGATTTACTTTTTCGCATAATTATTCCCCTTTTTTGATTCATAAATTCGTGGTTAAGTTTTTGTGTGTAAGCTGGTATCTCCATAACTACTGAAGGGAATGGATTGAAACTTCACACACTTGTTCTCTGTGATTGTATTGAAACTTGAAGGGTTTGTACCTTTTCGTACAATTTTATGTATTCATATAGGTAAGCATTATTATACTCAATGAAACACCCTTGTGACAAATTTTCGAATAGTCGAGCGTTTCTGTCCTCCGACAGTTCTTGTTACATTATATCTTAACCAATTTTGCATTACTTGAATATCCTGTACTAGAATACGTTTTAACAAAATCAGAGGATGTTCAAAGTCAAGATTGATGTAACAGTTTCTATATAATTTGAAATATTTTTGTACCAGCAAGAGTTACCTCTCTTTATATTCTGCTTTCGTGAAATTGGCTCCGCCTATTAATTTTCGTCTATTTCCGTGATAATTCCATATATGGAAGTAGCAAAATCGTTTACAAATGTTAATCGCGTTAGAATGTAAAAGGAAAGTGTGGTGTTGTAAACCTGAGTGTGTCAAGATGATGCAGTTACATTCACAACGTCATGGTGCACAGCATTAAACGTATTGTGTACGTTCTATCGTTTACATTTCTACATGTTGCAAATTTGAAATTATACATTTATAAATACAGTTTGCAATTTATCTAAGTTGCATGTTAACAGCTTTCATTTTATCAAATCGAGATAATCAAAATGCTTAATACCAGAGCAGTGTGTAACTCTCGGATCGACAATTAGATTTTTACTAATCTGTTTAGTAGAACCGAAGTATGCATTGTCAAGTTTCAAAGGCTGGATTTTTGGCAACGAATAGCCTCTATAATTAGGGAGTACACATTATACATGTAATTAATAAACCAGCGGATTACATGCAATACTTTTAGAAATTCTATACAATTGTAAGAAGCAAACAAGTTGAAAATGGAATTTAGTGTGAAATTGAAAAGGACAACTAAACACTGTAGTGCTTAAGTGACATTAAAATTAAAATAAAAACGATGTGCTCTGGCCTCTACATCTTTACCTTGTAAATAAAAAAATCTAAAAAATACACTATTAATTGCTGATGATTTTAACCAAATCTTTTTTAATGAGACATATGATGATTATCCAAGAGAAATAAAAATACAAATGACTTATATTTTATTGTCTATATGCCCACTATGATATAACACGAAGCAATTCTAAATAGCATTCTCAAATGTATAATGTATTATGTTTGAAGTTTATTTGCCTGGATTTATTTTAGAAATATTTCGTTGACAGTTTTTTTTCTATTTACATATCATTTCTTAGAATAAATCGAAAAGGACACTGATTTACAAGTTTGACCAGAGTTTTAGGCATGAATTTCATTCTGTATTTAAGTGCTTGAAAGTAGAAAATCTGAATTATATCAGTTTGGGACACAAAATATATTGCTCTACAAATCTCGAACTTGTATGGAACAAATTTTCTCTGTTATATATTTTGTGTTCTGTTTTTGTTTAAAAGAAGCCTTAATGTCTCTCCGGTTGCATGTCCGTCGCATTCAGTGCTGCAGCACTTTGATTACTTACGGTACCAGTATCATTCTATAATTTCCAAATAAAAAGTTCACTTTATTCCAACAAAGTATATGTATGTAATAGTTGTTACCTTTGGGTATTTGCAGTTAAATTAAAGTAACAACAAATCCAAATAGGTTTTGGTTCGTATGATATATAATTTATTAAAAGTCCACTGTCACTGTGTAATCTGATATTAAATCACATTAATATATAAAACCACTCTACTGTTATTCAAACCAGAAAGTTCCTTTCAGGTATACTGTCAATAACACAGTTCCACTTGTTGCTCAATCTCAAATGATCTGAATCAACAATAGTTAACAAGTCTGCACACTGAAATACACATTAAATGTCACTAAATGTATTATCATTTAATGTTATACATTTCCAAGGTTATCTCCCTTCAATCTACATTATTACATATAAAACACATCTCATCATAATATTCAATACACAGTATCTGATACTTATTATTAAGTGGTTCTAGTGGCGTTCATTATTACATATCTTATAGGATGCCTTAATAATAATATCATCAAGTTACATTAAAATACATGACACTTACATTATATACAATAATTACAATAAATATATGATTATCTTTAAAGTTACAATAATCACTTAGGCACAATAACATACTATTACAATATACAATTATGACTTACCAATTTGTGGAATTGTATGCTTTACAATCAACATATCAAACACCTAACTACAATGTACACCTGGCAATCAACACATCATTCACACAGTGACTGGGTGCTGTAAATTATGTAAAGAAAGAATGCATATTACATATAACAATGTGCATCATAGATATGAGTTAAGTGATGTTAAATAAGGAATGCTATTTCTGAACCATCTCAATTCTTTACACAAAAGGGATAATCTAAACACATGAGAATCATGAATTCACTTTCCAAATAACATAAATATTGTTTACATGGAATATAGAAGTTATTGTCCTACAATGATCTTTAAAACATACCATAATATTAATCCAATATCCTTAAAACATATTAAAATATATCTGGCCTCCAAAAATTCAACTTTTCTCAAACTTTAGACTTTTAACTCACTCAAAAGTCATGAACTCAATACACACTTGGAGGGAAATTCAAAACGATGATCTGATTGGCTAAAAATGATACAAGGGAAGTAACTGGAATGAACTCAACTTAGTTCAATGCACGAAAAGATGACCCTGTTACACACTTCCCCTCCTTGAAAAATGATGTCTCGTCATTTCGTAAGGTCTGTCCGAGTCATAGGTGAGCAACTGTGTCTTATATAATTACAAACTACATATCACTACATAGTTTAATTCTACTCTAATGTACATTAATCTCGAGCCAACTGTGACACTGTATAAATGACACACAACTCTTACTTGATGGACTTCATCCACAAGTATTAGCTTCATTTCCCATCATATTACACTCAATGTTTATTTTAGACCT